TTTTTTTTTTTTTTTTTTAATAATCATTTTTTGTATTTGTTGCAGTTGGAACAAACGAGGGTTCAGACTGTGTTATGGTTGTATTTGCCTCGCAGTAACCACGATCCTTCGTGTTTCAGGAAACATGGTGCAAAAGGTGGTGGCACATTTCGCAGAGGAACCTTTCCTCGACAAAGTCTTACTTCCCAGCGAGTTTAAGTCCGATTCTAGCGAAAGGGATGGAAGACTCGTCGAAGGAAAAGAAAGCAACGAAATCGACGAAACCAACGAAGAGTGGCAAAGAGGATAAAAGTTTGACTTCCGAGGATACGGAGGCCGCTGGTGAGTGTTCGTGCGCAATGAAATTTTGCGGGAAAGAAAGATAAAACATTTGAGGAAAATGGTTCTGTCGCATGACTCTCCGGATCTATATAATCCTATTACGTATATTTCAAACGCGATTTCCCTATTGCATGTATACGCAAAACAGTATTGATTTTCATCTTGACAAGACAAATACTTGATCTTTAAACTGTTCAAACTCTTCGTAGGAAAAAAAAAATAAAATAGAATTTGAGAGGAAGCTATTTTTATCTTGGAGCTTCTTTCACGATCCACTATATCAAAGTCTCTGATCTTTCAACTCTTCGTGAGAAAAAAAAAAAAAAAAAAAAAAAAAATAGAAAAGAATTTAAGAGGGAAAAAGATATTTTTTTCTCCGGAGAGAATTTTGCTGGTATGAGAAATTCGTTTACAATTATATCCTTATCTCTTTACATACCCAATTCGTGAAAATTCAAAAATCAATTTATTGATTTAAAGTATTACAGAGAGACCTAAAGTAAGTTGTTATATTTAGATCGTCCATTATACCTATCAATCGTCCATTATACTAATTTCCAATTATTAAAGACCATGATTAAAATTCAGTGAATTTTTAAGTAAAGTCAGTATAAAAGTAAAATGTTAAAGTTTCCAAAGAAACTTTTAATGACATAAACACCATCTACATTTATTCACTGACTGGCTCCTTTCTTTAAATGAAAATTAAATAAAACAGCCTGTTATGCTACTGCAATGACTAATTTTAACGGTTAAACCTCGTCGACCAATTTTGCAGAAGCTGTTTCATTTAGTATTTAACTTCGTGGAAGTAACAACGAAGTAACGCTAAAAGGATTAGATAGTATTAGTAGGTATTTTTAACCGGATATTTATTTATTAGCCTGGAACTACGTAAACAACAGTTTAACAAATATAGTGGTTTAGAACTTCCTTAACTTATATACATTTTCCACAACTTCGACTTTAATCGACTTTAATTTGATTAAACCAGATACGATATTTCAGGATCGTTCAAATTTCTCCAACCATCTTGACTTTAATATACATTCGTCCCATGAAAGTATTTGAACACTCGAACAACAAACTATTAATGAATATATTACGTGTATGTTATATAACTTTCTACGGCAACTGTTCAAATACATTCGCGACTGCGTGATTTCATGAAACGTCCGACGTTGATCGTTGCTAAGAAACCTCGAGTAACTGTACAATTTCCTTCATTACAATTACTGAAACGACGATCGAGCTCGGTTATGCGAACGAATGCGATCGGGATTGCAATTGCAATTGCAATCGTTCCGTCAAAAGAAGATACGGAAAAACTTCTGCGAGGATATCACTGCGGCAACCATTGTCTCTAAACTTTGGCAACATTCCCTCTGGCTCTGGACCGAGAATGCAACGAACGATATTGCAAGAAACGCCATCCGCCTCAAGAAGTTTCCAAACGTTGGCTCTCGGTCCCGTTCAGGCTATCCTCCAGCACCTCGAACTCTTCGAACTCCATTTTCCCAAAATCGTCGGTGGTTCTCCAATTGTTCTCGTTGACCTGCCACCTGGTCAGAGCACTGCCGATAAACCTGCTCGCGTAATCGGACTTGGCGTCCTCCAAATCGCCCAGCTTGAAATCCGCTTTGAAACTCTTCGTCTCCCTGTTCTCCTCCCTCTTCGGCTCCAAGCCGATCACCACGGGAGGCTCTCGTTTAACCTCCGGCTCTTTATTCTCGCCTTCTGATCTCCTCTTGTTGTCTTTACTCTCGTTCTCTTGCTTGTCCAGCACGGTGATCTCGATGCTCGGCGTCTCCGCAATCGTGTATTGACTCAGATCGAGCGCCCTTTCCTTGTTCCGATTGAGCCTCAGGTGATTCTCCACCAATCTTCCAGTCAGTTCCAGCCTGCTGTCGCACGAGTTGCTCTTTATCAGCCGGAATTTCACGTAATCGTTCGACCCGTTGACGCATTTGAATCTCGCGTTCTCTCCGATTATCGGCGATATCAACGGGCCGTTGCTGGAGTTCACTACTTTGCCGCCGTAGTACGTGACCGAGGTGCCGTACTCGCGGATCTTCTTAAGCACGTCCGGTGACACGTAGTGATTCGATCCGCTTTGGCTCACGTCGGCCTCGTGGCTCGAGTCGATCTCCTCGTCCTCCGAGGAGATACACTGCACCCCGCTGCCGGGATCAGTGTCGGGATAATCGCTGGACACGCCAGAGCTCACGCTACCGGCGTCCCAATTGCTGTGGTGGTGATGATGGGCGTGATGATGGTGGCAACGGTTCATCTTGTTCTTGGAGGAAGTGGAGTCGCTGGGCGACGTGTGGCCGCTTCTAGCCTCGAAACTCTGCGCCAGGATCCGGGTTTTCGACTCGCAACGGGGGCTGTCCAACTCGTCCTTGCCTTCGATCACCGACGCGTTCGACGACGTGGATTTCTCTTTGCTCTCGAACAGTTTCGTGAGATCCTTCGCCCGGCTGGAACATCTGGACACGGTACGGTATATTTTTAAATTTTTGTCGCAGCGCCGATCGCAGAGGTGCTTGGAGCTGTCGAATCTTTTGGGGAACTTGGAACTACTAAAATTACTAATAAAAGTAAATCGTGTTTTACCTGGTGCCCTCTGCCTTCTCCGACATCTCGTCGAAATGGTCGCGATCGATGCTACTCAGATCCTTCATACTGACGCTCTTCCGGCTCTTGCAATCCTTCGAGATTAGCGTAGAACCATTCGAGACGTTCTTCATCTTCAACGTGTTCTCAAACATACGCCTGACGTTTTTCACGGTGTCCGGGTCAGGTAGTTCCTCGTCGATGAGCTCGCGGTTCACCCTGATGGGATGATAGAAGAAATGCTTCTTAATGGACGATTGTTTCGGACTTTTGCCGCTGTCGTTCGTCCCATCGCAGCTTCTCTGACCTTCGCTCTCCATCTCCGTTTTCTTCTGTATAGCACCTGCTATCTTGCAGCTCGGCTCGGATCTCGCTTTTCCAGCAGAGGACAGCTTCCGCTCTATCGTCTCCGCGCGCACTGGCTCTATGATGACAACGTTGTTGTCCAACAACAGCTCCTGGAAGGAATACTCTCGCAGATACTGCATCAGACCCTCGTAAGTGACGTCGTTGCGAGTGCTCGCGTACATGTTCTTGCCGAACATGTTCGACTTGATGATCTTGTAACGGACGTGATCGAACTCCTGGTCGTCGTCGTCCGGATGACACTCGATCGAATCGACGCAGCTCCTCGATCTTGTCAGATTGCCGCGCGTCTTCTGGCTCGCGTTCTCCTTCGCCAGGGACGATAACCCCTTGCAGTTGGACGTGGCGTGGTCCTCGTCGATGCCGTCGTCCACGGATCTTCGTCTCGTGTCGCTTCCCGATTCCGATCCTAAGCCCAGGTCGGAGCTCTCGGACCGAGCCTCGAAACCAAGGCTGCCTTTCACCACGCTGCAAGCCTTCCCGATTATGTTCGACGTCTCTTTCACGATCCTCTCGAATCTACCCTCCGTCTGTTTTCCTCTCGAGGCATCCTTCTGCGAATTTTTCTGCTCGCAAGTGTTTCTCGCG